CCTTTCTTTGGGTCATTGANGCTGAGCCATGCCGGGGGGCGGCCGTGGTTGCCAGAATCAGGAATGGGGCGAGACGTCGCGGAGGATCCCCACATCTCTCCACCGGGGGCCCAGGAGGCAGAGGAGCCGCCGCCGCCGCCGCCGTTGCTGCTGCTGAACGACAACGGGCGATGGGTGAGTGCGAGAAGGCTCAACACCCCCTCCCTCCCGGGGAAGGGACCCTCCGCTTCCCTTCTCTCCCCACGGCTAATCCCAGTCTTGCCCCTTATTTCCCCTTTTCTGACTCCTCCGGCCCCTCGTCTCCCCCTCCTGTCACCTTTGCCCACCTCCTTCCCATCCATTTTCCCTTTTGTCTTCTATTTCCATCTCGTGCCTTGCTCCCCCCCTCGGGCCTTCCCTCGCCCCCCCCCCCTCACTTGCTGGCTCCTTTCCCTTGCCCTTTTCCCTAGGCGCCCCTTCCTACTGATGCGATCCCGGCTCCCCTTTCCCACCTTCTTTGTGTTTGATTATGGAAAGGGATGGAGAACCTAAGGCTTCCTGGGAGGAGAGTCCTGGAGATGTGGAGATGCTGGGCAGGGAAAGTGGAAAGGGATTGCTCCAAATTGGCCAGTTCGTTGAAGCTTAGGCATTTGGAGGATGGGTGCCCCTAGGCTGGCTTTTTCTTCTACTTGGGACTTTCTGTAATGGTCGGCAGCCTTTGTGGCCTTGTGGTTGGCCAAGGATAGTGGTGTTTTCCCTCCAATTCATTCCGAAAGATGCCAAGTGAAGGAGGCTCTCCTAGAGATCTAGTGAAGAACCCCCCACCCATGTTTTCCCTTTCTTGTCGGTATTGAACAACCAAAACAGTTGTGTACAACATGTGCCTGTGATAACATCTCTAAATCTCCAGATGATCCCTGATTTCCCTGCAGCTGCCTGCCTAGTCAAGGCAGGCTGAATTTGGGAACTTCATGAACTGGAAAGCTAAGGTTGATTACAAACCTCCCCTGATTTGCCTTCCCCCTTTGGAAAGATACAAACTCCCAAGGAAGGTTGCCATCAGCGCTGCAGAAAGGTCCTGTTTGCTCCTAGCTTCCCTGTGCCAGGACGCCACTCATGGTGCATTTGTGTCCAGTCTGCAGTATTTGGTAGGCAGCAAATGAGTGTTCAGAGTCTGTTCAATCCCAGAAATGGTACAGAATAAACAGGCACAGAGACTGTCCTCTCCTACCCACTTACCCTTTTCTTAAAAAAACAGGAACAGTTTTTAATAGCCAGGCTTGTGTGTCTTTCCTGGTCTATAAGGTCATCCGTAATGCTTTAGAGTTGGCTTGTCTACTTTTTGATTCTGTCAAAGTACCTGTCATATTGTGCAGCTTTCTGCCTGGGACATGTGATTGTCTGCACCAGCACAGCAAAGGTGTTGCAGTCAGGAAGCTGAGTGTGTGCTGCAGCTATAGACTTATTTAGGCAGCATGGAGAAAGAGAGACCAAACAAGGAGGAGGGATGGAAGAGAGGGGAAAAAAATGGACTACTTGTTTTCTTCTGGGACTGTCTGTGAAAGTAATTTGAGTCACATTGAAAATAGCCTTTTATCATCTCATGAAGGCCTAGCAAAACTTTTAAGAAGTGAATACCTCCAAAAATAAAGCTCAAATGATTAGCAGAGTTGTCCAGGTAATTTGTACTGTATGTTCCTAGTACCTCACAGTTCTTTCAGTAAAAGCAGCTCTAGGAACTAGATTACTATTATTTCCATATAATAGATGAGAGTTGAGGTTGGTGGTGACATGCCTAAGGGAGCGAATGAGTTCATGACAGTTCTATACCAGCACACTGCTTGACAAATATCTGACAGCTTTTGCCAATCAGTCACTTTTCAGACGTGCAAGGCTAACAATTTACAGAATAACCTACACATCTGGAAAGCTTTATGATGAAGAAGGCCAATTTCTGGGTTGGTTTCTAAATTGATATCTCTCACAGAAATAAGTTATTAATGACTAGGACACAACTATTCCAACATTTAAAAAGCGTGAGTGAGAGTGATAATAGCAAATGAAAAAAAATTCTGATGATGTTAGATTGAAACATATGCCAGTTACCACTTGATAGCTCAATCATCTGATGACTGTATAAATGGACTGGAACTTAATTATCCAAAACTCTCTCAAGTCCTGTGATTCCTTGTAATCTAATGGCCATATTCATTACATTTTCTTAACAATGTCTACAATGACCTTTACTTTCTAGGAAAATTTGCTTTTCTTTCTTTCTTTCTCTTTCTTTCTTTCTTTCTTTCTTTCTTTCTTTCTTTCTTTCTTTCTTTCTCTATCTTTCTTTTTCTTAATCTATTTTACAGATTTGGGATTGCTCGTGTTTTCCCACCCAGGTATTGAATATATCTAAACTTGCATAGCATTTTTGAGATCAGCCAAGGTGAATTAAGTGTTGCCATTTAGTTTACTTTCATGTAATTTCAATTCTAGTTAACAATGGAGGAAACATAGTTATTTGGAAAGTCCACCATAGCAGTACTATATTTGTACATAGGAGCAAAACTGACTCAGCCACCAATACTAATCATTTTTCTAGCAATGAACTCGGGATCATGGGGACCTGGCACCAAATCGCTTTCTAGTCACACCCTCATTATGTCCCTGCCACACCCCTAGCATTTATTTTGAGGCATGATCTCATGTTACCTGGAACTTCCCCATGAAAGTATTTCCATTGTTACTGCTTCTCCTACTTGGGAAGAACAATATTTTAGCTATCATACCAATTCTGCCTGATATGACAATGTATGGGAAGATTTATATCGGCCAAAAATCTAGGACCAGATTTGAAAATAAATAGTATATCGCACACCCCTTCCTTCGTGACATGGCAGATATGGAAATAGGAAAGCAAGAATATCATTTGCCCGAATACACATTTTCTTTTTTATTCTAGTAATCTTGCGACAAGCAGGTCTTGCATTGCTTCAAAAACTTGCAAAACCAGAGATCCAGAGTTCATGATGAATTAAAACATAACAAACAAAATCATAGATTTATTAGCATCATCTACAAATCTCTATGCAACTAGAGCAGGGGAAGAAGAGTGCAGTAGGATCTTATTGCCAACTGAGTAAGACAGTTACTTTTGGTGAGACAGTCAAGGAGGAAAAGTCCATGCCTTTTCCCTTCTTGATGCCCTCTGAGAATCCTTGAGTTTCTGCAGTGAAAGCTGATGAACAGTAGATTTGGAATGGTGCCTAAGGACTGTCACAGGCCATAGGAACACTACCAAATTACTATCTGTATTTCTTTAGTCAAGGTGATTTGCTTGCGAAGTAGAGTATCCTTTCCAGCTGGGATGCTCTTATACTGTACATCCCCTAGTGTGGATTCTTTAAATATAAAGGAAACATGACAGAGGCCAGTTGTTCTGCTAGTGCCATCTCTGCTTGTGGGCAAGTCAGATTTTTCTCAGATTGCATTAGAAGCAGCTGCTTGGACATCAATCATGTTTCACTAAGGCGACAGGAACCTGGCCTACTTTAAATGCTATGGTCTCCTCTGAGCACTCTTCATTTACTTTACAGCCTTCCTCAAAGAAAATGTCAAAAAAAAATTTTTTTTAAAGACTGCATGATATAGCCTACGATGGAGATGAGGATGATTTGAGATCAGATAATTTAGATGTGCATATGCATAAAAATATGATTAACTTATCAAGTGTAAGACCAAAAACTACATCAAATTTGTCAAGAATTGGGGTCAAGTAGCTGCATATTTTTTCTGGTTAGAAGATCAGCAAATTGTTGCCTTGTGCCTGCCTAACAATTGTTTTTTTTTTTCCTAAACATGTTTATGTTGTAATTATACAATTCTATGTACATATAGGATTTTCTAAATATATCCTTGTCTAATAAGTTGCAATATATTCCTATGCTGTGCTGTATACACAAAGCACCCACAAAGCACCAAGAGAGAAATGCTGATTAAAATGGCTGGTGATTGCAGACAACATACTGAATAATGTGAGCAACTTCTTATGATAGGATATTTATTCTTTCCGCAATTATCGGATGGACAAAATCTTGTTCATTTAATTCCCCCCCCCCCACTTTGCTCCATTTTGAGCAAAGCTTCGGCTGCTGAATTTCTGTTTGTCATGTAGCTAAAGTTCTGTCCTAGTATAAAATGCAGAAGACTCAGTGTGGGGGAAAAATAGCAATCCTAAAAAAAGTGGAAACAAAAGTGCTCATGGAATTACAGTAGCTTTTTGACTTCAGAAGATAGATTTGAGAAAGGAAGATTAAAACATTGGAAGTCTTTCTCTACTCCTATACTGATCCTTATAGATATTTGATCTTTGTAGGAATAAACATTGGCTCATTTTCTTATCTGGCTATTCTGCTGCAGAGTATGGGATATACCCAACTTAAGACCCTTCCTCACATGTACTTATATCCTGACCAGTGAGTGTGATAGCTAATTGGAAGTTGAAGACCAAAAATGTATGGAAGGCATCCAACTGGACAAGTTGGCATTTGTCTGATGGACAAACCATACTCATCTGGGAAACATCAACATATTTTTGATCCTAAGGTTACCTCTCTCGCATTGGTGTAGTTATCCAAGGGTTGTATTTTGATATTTTCAAAATATAGTTTTTAGCAAATAATGAGCATCACATAACCTGATAGCAACGTCTTTCATTTTTATGAAGCTGAACATTAAATGGTAAACAAGGCAATGGAACAATCAAAATAGAAGTTTGGCTCTACTCTTCCTGGAGAATAGTATGCATTACATTTAAAGTATTTCTTCAGCTTCCTTCCCAATCTTATGTTGACTTAAGGGAGGTATGAGTAGAGTATAAGAGGCTGAAGGGAGGTCTGAGTAGGGTTGACTAAGCTGAACACCAGTAAGCTCCAAGCACCTCAAATAGTTTCCATTCAAATCAAATGGAGCAGCGATTGCTAATAAATGCTTACTCAAGTTACCAAGATGTGAGGCTAGATTGTTTACTCTAAAGCAAGTTTTTTTTTTGGCACATTATTGCAATTTGACCCAGCTAGCATAGAAATACTTTGTTTGAGAAAGAGGTAGAGCCTATAAAAGCTTATCATAGCTGTGGTAAAACCACTGTGGAGGATTGTTGAGAAAGCTAAAGGTGAGGAGTAATCTCTGGGTTAGATCAAATGCACTAAAGAGAGTCAATTTTCTTTTGCAATATATCTTCTGTATTTGTACCTTTGATAGTAGGGACTGCATGATTCTCTTCCAGTTCTATTTCTTATGTCTGCAGCCAAAGGTAAGCACAAAACAACAGCAAAAGTACCTTCAGGTGTATGTATGGGAATAATCATGTTAACAGGGATCTGGCTGTGGGATCATATCCCAACTGGTTTGAAGCCACTTCTTTTTATCATTAATTTTAAAACTGTGTGTGTCATTGAGGTTTCCCCCCTCCCCCTCAATCATGTGTCCCTACTATAAGGTGTGGTAACCCCATAGGCACATAACGATTAGTGTATCCGTGCCTCACTTGGAGAAATCCTTATTAAGCGGACTCACTTGGTGCCCATTTTGCAATCCCTTCTCTGTGAAGTTCTTTATTTCCCCAGGCATTTGACTATTTATAATTTGGAATATCTGTAACTCTTTAAGTGACTGTCAGTTTTGTATTGATTGTAGTCCAAAACTATTCTATGGAGCTCTTGTTACCATTGAAAGCACCCCCCACTTTTCCCACCTTCATTATTAAAGGCTAATTTTATAGATAAATAGATAGTAGTGGTTTCTGCAGGACCTATGAAGCAAGGCAATGAAAATATCCTGTTCCTTTAAGATTGATATTTCTGAAACAACCTACTTTTGTTGGAAAATTGAGGCAAGCTTATAATTATGCTGTATGTCTGTACCTGGGGTGGGTTCACACAAGACATTAAGTCATAACCAAAAGTACCACTGTGTGATTTAGCATGACGGTGGCCTCAATACATACTGAATTCAGTATGATTTACTCTAAGATAAGTATGTATATAGAATTGCAGCCTAAATTCCTTAAGATATACATAAGATGTTATAAGACAATGGTCAAATTTAAGTCATTGTCTCCTACTCTTATCTCTGTACTAAAATACTTGTATTGATGAATTTCAGATTATAGTGAAGTGGTGAAGAAATAATGTGATGTAATAAATGGAAGGCTTGTATTTTGAATGGGTAGATCACTTGATTTTAATCATTGGCCATGTTCTTACGATCATTAGCTACAAACAACTATGATTTATTCAATATCATTAGCTAAGTTCTCCTGATACAGAAGCATAACCTTACTATACTGGCTGTGTTTGCATATTATGCTGTAATTAGTAGGCTAATTTGTAGTTGACTGCATTGTTTGAACTAGGCATTCCTTAGGTATTGCTCATTGTCTCTGCATTTTGGTTTAATACAGGATAGTTTTGAGAATTAAACAAGGGAAAATCGATGTTTATTTTCCATAATTCGTTAGGACAAGGCAGACATAGAATGTGACATTAAATATAATGGGGAAATCAGAAGTTATTTATAAAAACCTTTTTATAGGTATTATGGGAGGAACAGCTGCTGCTAAGCAGAGCAAATAGGAATTTGTGAGGTAGATCAACAACCTGACTTCACAGAAGACGTTTATTAGGTTTATATACCTCTAATGCCTCATTTTTCTTGGATGATAGTGCAGATACTTAAGACATTTATTATAAAATTAACTCACCACCTTGATGGAATTGTCAGTAGATGCAGATAACCTTAATCACAGAGAAAGGAGAATTATTGCACAATAATTACACAATATCTTTGGAACTACTTGGAACCCTTCTGGAAGCACTTTAGTACTATTTCCAGCTCTGCTAGGGGTTCACTGGCTAGCATTAATTTTTAATCTCCTATCCCTTCATGAGTTTAGCATGGCTTACAAGAGCACATTCATTTTAAAAATCCACGAAGTTCTGTTGAGCATATCAGTGCCATCTCTTCATGGGCCCCTCCTGCATTTTTAATAGCTCTCTAGCATGAAAATTCAGAGCAGGTGAAACATTGCCTTAATGATACATGCAACAAATAAAGCATTTAATGAAAATGTTCTGTTGTGACTTAACATAGAGAGCCCTAGATTCATTTCTACTCTAGTCATTCTTAAGCATCTTTTTGTCTACAGGGTGGACTACTTTTTGGAGTGAGAATGGAAATGCTTCTCCTGTTAATCAGAGCCTCTAGAAAGCCCTCTAAAGTGGGTCTACCTTTCTGTATGATTTACTACAGGATTTACTCTCTTTCTGAATTAATGGCCTGACCTTGATACTTTCTTGTCAGAAATGATGTTCAGAACAGTGACTCATTTGGAAATATAATTAGTGGGACAAAAGTAATTGTCTCTTTAAATCTCAAGAGTGATGTAAAAATTATGAGAATGTTCTCCAATGTTGATTCAGAAAACCAGAATAAAAAATTATGAGAAGTCTAGGAAACACTGGCCTCTCAACCAATTAAAAGAGTTGTTCCCATCTTACCTTTTTCTGTGAATAGCCATTCAAAACAATAGTTATGAAACAAGAATTTAAAAAATTTAAAGTAGGAATTGGAACACTTCAGAATAATATTTTTGGTTTTTAGTTTTGTCCAGTTGGGTCCTTCAATCTCATTCTTAGAAACAAAAGATCAAGTAGTAAATCTGAAGTTAACCAGATCTACCTTAGATTGTAGATCGAGTAACAGAATGGAAAGCTTTTTCATCCCAGGAAGTCTTCATATATAGCAAAATAACTGCACAAAGAGCCTAGCCTTTTGCCTAGAATGTTCACTTCCTGTTTGGATGCACATGTGTGGGGATTTTTAAATGAAGAAGAATTTGATCGTGAGTTCCTTATTGCAATCCATGGTCATGTAGTCAAGAAATACTAGACTTCAATTATTTGTGGAAAATAAGCCATAATTTGAATTATGTATCTGAACAACTGTTTTGATCTTTATGCCGTTTTTAAAATATGTCATTTTAGTCATTTGGATTCCCAATTTTTAGGCTCATCAAAAGCTATGCTACTATTGATTCAATATTTATTGATCATATTTATATGGCCACCCATCTCACAGAACATGATTCTGGGTGATGTACAATAAAAATATTTATTCTAAATGGGTTTAGTATGGAGTCGGCAATACAAATCTGATATCTATACTTCTTAGTATAGACCTTGTAATATTTTTATGGCAATTGTTATGATTTCAGCTACATTCAGAGAACATACAAGCATATCCAACACACAATTCCCTTTCAGGGTCAAAACATTTGCTAAGCACAAACACATAGAGGGAAAAGTAAACAAAATGAAGATAAAGCAGGAAATTAAATCTACCCCAGCACCATTTACTATGCTTCTCCCTATCTTTCTATCCTTACAATCATTACTTGCATCATTTCCATATATAACTTCATACATTACTTTTGGTTCTTTAAATTTCTCTTTTTGATGAGCTCATAAACTCCTTCTCATCATGAGTTTTTAGTCTTCCCCTCCTCTTCAGCCATTCAGTCTTCCAGCATATATCTTCTTTTGTGATTTCATGTTTTTATTATTTAAGTGATCAAACTATCTCAATCAATGCATTTTGTTCTGCTCACTCACCTTTGTATTCAACCCACTCAGCACCCATGGATTCTTGACTTGTTCTTTTCTTGTTTCATCATACATATTTGTTAAGTAACACATTCCCACTGCATCTGGATGTGAGAGCAATCTATCACCCCATTGATCATGCAAGTTAATTTGACTGATCCCATTGTATCCAACTTTACATTCTCCTATCATACCTAACATTGAGTTTCATACTATACTATACAATTGGCAAAAACATGTTTTTATATACAACCATTTTTGCTCCTTTGACATTCATTCCTTGAAACAGACTATAGTACTATATTTCCATACATATTGCCATATCCTATAATTTCTCCATCAATTTCCCATCTTCAGTAGTACGGTAATTTCAGAAAGCATCCCATTTATTATAATTCATACTTTTATCATAAGGAGCTATTCTTTCAACTCCATAGTCATAAAAAGCATTCTACAATTCATGCCTATTCACTATCATACACTTTCTCCAAATCAATGTATAATCAAAATTTTGTACTTAATCAAAATTTTAATAAACATCACCCCAGACACATTTAACAAGCTCACTCATAGGATACTTAATATTCTGAAATAAATTGTATATAAATAAGACAGTTTGTCCAAGCAGTGAAGCACATATTGCTATATTCACACTAATTCCAAACTGGCTCTCTTCATTCTTTATAAGTGTATAGAATGAATGGAATTGGGGATTGCATTCTCAATACATCTGTAAGATCCTAGACTGCTTTAGATTCAGTAAAAAATTATTTTATATATGCAAAGAAAATGAGAATAGAAGAAAGGGGTTATTCCTTGTCACATCTGGAAATATATATTTTTCTCTAATAAATGCAAAGCAATTAACAACATTCACTAAAGAAACATAATTAATAAAGATGCCTTACATTCCTTGAATTTTTGTCCAGTTTAGGTGAATCAGTCTCGTGAGGAAAAGAAGTTGCACTTCTATAAGTCTATCAAATAGATAATAGGGATCTATGAAATGATATTGCTTTCTTGAAGAGTATCAAGGTATAAAATATAGGATATTGCTCTAAATTAAGGCTCCATTAGCTAAATAAAAATAATGGCTGTTAAGTGGGTAAGAATAAAAATGTTAACTTGTTGCAGTGTAACAGACTATTTAGTGAGAATTTATTTTGTTCTCTAGAAAAGTTTTCATGTTGAATACTTTCAGTTTTGTTCCCATAAATCAATACATTTTTGCTTTTCTTAAAAAAAACATTAATTATGAAACACATGGATTACTGGAGAAAATCAGTAAGTAAGTATTTAATAACTGTAATTTTGATTGTTTGAATCATTTCCCTTTTGAGATTATTGAGAAGTAATAAATTCAACAGTGCCATTTAAAAGAGAATGAAATTGATATGTGCTATTTTATGTCACTTAATCATCATTGTCTTGACTAACAGTGCAGTGAGACACAACTACATTTTATACATTCACAAAAATCTTAGATAGTTTAGGAAAAGTGCTACAGAATTTATTTATGGTAGATCTGCAAAAAATGTGAGACCCGGATCTTCAAGGGAAGGAAAACTAATAGATTTGAAGTCTGGAATACGCTTCTCAAAATTCTTTTAGGAAAAACAAGAGTTCCACTAGGAAAAACTAGAAATATATATTGTTCAGTTTTAAGAAGTTCTCGTGTGAAAATATCTTCTCAGCCTTTTAGAAAGTTTATATTCCTCCATCTGTGCTAATTCTTGCAGTGGCAAGTTCTCTTGTGTTTCAAGGAAGTTCAAATAATAACTCAAAAGGAGTTAAATATCCTTGTATAATTTGTCCCTATGCAGAGTTTGATGCACCCAAACCTATTAATCTAAATATGACTATCTAATTCTCAATTTGCTGGATAGATAGATGCATAAACTGTTGAAATTAGTGAGACCAACTAGGCCATAAATCTGTTTGGCATTGAAGTACACTTGAAATGCACCTGTTGTTAATTACTGTTAAGTTCCACTTTAGCATTTGAGACACCCCCTAAAATGTCCACGCTGCGTAAAGTCTCTTGCTAGTGTGCAGGTTTTTTTTAATGAAATTGCTATGTTGGTTTAGCTGCAGTAGAATACTTATTATAGAATTAAGAATAATTAGAACTAAACGACAAGTGGGAAAATATGTCTTGTAAATTGTTGGTGTCTTGAAAAACCAGTTCAACTACTCAGTTATCTTTATTATTAACACTATGCTGATAAGAAAATCCCCCCCCCCTTATGAGTGTTAAGTCAGACCCCTTTTAGGCATACATTTTAATATCTTTTCCCCAAGACACCTAAAAAGTGTACTCCAAGGTGTTGATAAAAGTTAGGAAGTTAGCGACTTTTAAGTTTGCCATAGTACTGGCATTACCCCAACTATCTCTAATTTGTAATATATTTTAGGCACATGTAAAACCACCTAGATGCTGAGATCAATTTTGTTCATTCAGATGCTGTAATAAATTAGTACACATTCAGGATCATGTAGATCAGTGGTTCTCAACCTTTTCTTCACTATGGACCCCCTTTAAATACCTTTTGTGGCTGCAGACTATGGCCACGGACCACCCAGACTTAACTCAAGATTTAAATAGTAACATTTCTACAAGCCTTCATGGACCCCATGTGACAACATTGTACCCCCCCCCCCGAGTCTGCAGACCACAGGTTGAGAATCACTGATACAGGTGATATTTTGCATTAACACGAATAAACCATATTAATTATGTGGTTTTTCTTTCCCCACTCTGCTATTCTGAGATCAATGAAAAAATCAGGTCTCTGGGTCTTGAAGCTTAGGAAGATAAAATTGTAGTTATTATAGAGCAGGGTAAAAAAAATTTGGTGACTGAAGAAACTGTCATTATTGACCATTTGAACAAAGCAAATAGCAAAAGTTTGCAGCAAACTGGAGGGAAAGACCAAGTGTCCTGTTCCTAGTCCTTCACACTTAGAAAGAAGCTAAAATGAGCCATGAAGAAGCTGCTGCTTGTATGACTAGCAAAGTGGAACAATGGCGGAATCATCATTACCATTATCATTATCATCATCATCATCATCATTCTAACCATTGTCAATCTACTGAGGGATGAACGGCTCTTCTGAATGTTTCCAACCAAGGTCTTAAGCATTCCTTCGCCAGTTGGGTCCACAAGACTAGCTGATGTCATCACTCCATCTTGTTTTGTGTCTCTTTTGTAGATGCTTTTTTATCAAGTAGAATCCATTCTATGAATGCCTTAGTTCACCTGCCATCAGTTTTTCTTGCTATGTGACCAACCCATTTCCATTTCAATTCTTTTGCTTTTTTGATGACTTTGTATATTTTTGTTTGTTCTCTAATCCATGTATAGGTCTTTCCATCTTTTCTTGTGATGCTGTGCAATGTCATCTGGCGGCTCCTCGGGGGAGGGCCTTCTCTGTAGCTGCCCCAGCCCTATGGAATGATCTACCCGCAGAGATCCGGACCCTCCCCACTCTCTCGGCCTTCCGAAAGTCTACTAAGACCTGGCTGTTCCGGCAGGCCTGGGGCTGTTGACCTCATGAACGAGGTCCAGCCCCACTAAGGTTGNAAAAACTATTTTGTAGGGAAAACGTTTGGATTTCCAGCTTAGAAAGGAAAAAGATGCAGGTTTATCACCCTGAGAAATAGGAATGGCCTATTGGGAAAATCCCTCAAATACCCTACACAGTTTGTAATGGCGGGAATCCGGGAATCCGAACTGCAGAGGGGAACCATGGCCTGATTTGGCATTCAGATGAGTATAGTACACGTGTGTATTGAGATCAACAGGAATGCAGAGCTACCCATTTCTGATTTTGGTGCCCGGAAGCCTCTCCTGCATTGCACCTTTCAGGTGTTTGAGGAAGGCAGAATCTTGACCTCCTTCCTTTTGCTTCCTCGGCGCTATTTTTTTTTAATTCTTCCAAAGTGATCGTCCACTTCAGACACTTTCAGAGCCCACCAGTCAGTCTCCTCCTTCTATCCCCCCCTCGCCCCCCGCCGGCGTCTGACCACAAGGCGTTCCTTTGTATTCCTTTCTATTGCGGAGGTAGAGCAGGGGAAGAGGGCTGGTCTCCAGCAGCAAAGCCTGGAGCTTTCTCCCCGAGCTCCAAGATCCCTCCATTCGCGATGTTTCCTTCTTAGGAACTGGGAGGGGTCGCTTTCACGATTAAAGGCGGCCGGGGGGGGGGAGGAGGAGAGAGGGGGAGACACGCGCTCGCACTAACCTGCCTGCCTCTCGGATGGTCAGAATGATGCTCGGATGACTTAATCCCCCTCCCTCCGCTCCCCCTTTCCCCGGGCTGTTCCAGAAGCTCCTTCCCCCGCCCCCGCCCCCTTACCCTGCGTTGCGTCTGGAGGAGGAGGGTGGGGGGAACCATCGGGATATTTTTAAACCGGGGAAGGGCGGGAGGGAGGTGGTGGGAAAGGCAGCCGGGGACTGGGAAGGCGCCTCGGGGGCCGAGCGAGAGATGGGCAGCGGGGGGCGGAAGAGAGGGAGGGAGCGCTCCACTCGCACGGACGGCTTTGAATGACTGCCGCAGTTTAGGCAGCAGCCGGCTGACCTGCCAGGCGCGCCACAGCCAAGGGGGGGAAAACCGAAGCTCTCTCCCGATCGCCGATTCCTCTATCCCGTTAGCACCGGGCTCCCCTCTTTGGATGGTGCAAGGCTTCCAGGAGGAGGAGGGGGGGGGAGGAGACGGAGGAGGAGCTTTCCTCATATTATTATCATCATCATTATTATCACCATCG